AAAAAATCGATCATGGATTAAAAAAAAATCACAAATTTTCAAAAAATTCTATCATGGATTACAAAAAAATTCGATCATGGATTAAAAAAAAAAATCACAAATTTTCAAAAAATTCAATCATGGATTACATAAAATTCGATCATAGATTACAAAAAATTCAATCATGGATTACAAAAAACTCTATCATGGGTTACAAAAAAAGCAAACAACAAAAAATTCAATCTTGGATTACAAAAAAAAAAACAAACATTTCGATCATGGATTACAAAAAAAAAACAAACATTTCGATCATGTATTACAAAACATTCGATAATGGATTACAAAAAATTCTATCATGGGTTACAAAAAAAAAAAAAAATTTGATCATGGATTACAAGAAAAGAAAACAAATATTTCGATCATGGATTACAAAAAATTCTATTATGGGTGACAAAAAACCAAAAAATTCGATCATGGATTACAAAAAAACAAAAACAATTCGATCATGGATTACAAAAAAATCGATCAAAGTATTACAAAAAAATCTATCATTGATTACAACAACAAAAAAAAAAAAAAAAAATCCGTACGGGACTTGCCGATTCACTGTTCGGACTCGCCGATTCCGTACAGTGAATCGGCAATTCACTGTACAGAATCGTCCGGTTCTAGAGAACCGGACGATTTCCAATTTTTTAGACGATCCGGTCCCCTTTTCACGATTTCCGAGTCGAACCGGGCGAATCCGGTTCGACTTGGCGTTTTTTAAAACACTCGAGTTTTCTTTGGATTTTTTGATTGTATCTCCTATTTTATTTTAAGTTCCATTGTAATCACTTTTCATATCAATAATACTTTTTACTCTAGTCAAAAAAAGGAAAAAAAAGAAAAAAAAAAGAGAGCTCCTGATTTTTAATGGCCCCGTTTCCAACCCCCACACACATTTCTAATGATTCACACCCATTGCTTGCTTTCAATGTTAAATACCACCCATGATCCATATTTTTCTTCAATGTACAAAATACATTCCCAAACCCCAAAATAATGGACAGAGGTATCTGGCCTTCGAAACAACATTTGTGAATATTTCAATTTGCCAAAATCTAAGCATGATTGTAGAGAGAGAAAATCTGATTTATATGTCATCATTTTGCTTCGCTTCTTTTAGAAAATTCCCGATCAATCTCTGGTCAAAAATCATCCCAGGTACCTGCAAATTGCTCTCAAATTTTTAATGATTTGATTGCAATTCACGCATAATGAGAATGAAGAGAAATAATGCAGTTTTCGATAGGGGCAGCATACCTTGTCTCCAAAAAATATCTTTGAATTATTTGCAATAGCTTCGATGAATCGAAGCTCAAGATACTGTGGGGTGAGCTTCAACCTGTTCGCTTCAGCTTCTTTCATCACCCTGAAATCCCAAAACTCAAAATCAAGTCTCTCTCTCTCTCTCTCTCTCTATATATATATATATATATATATATATATATAGTAGTAGTAGTAGTAGGAGACGACCGAACGAAACGAAAAACTAACGAAACCGTAACCGGTACGTACGTAAGTTAGTAAGTACGTACGTAACGTAGTA